TCTCTCTCTCTCTCTCTCTCTCTCTCTCTCTCTCTCTCTCTCTCTCTCTCTCTCTCTCTCTCTCTCTCTCTCTCTCTCTCTCTCTTTCTGTCTCTATACTAATCAATCAATCAATCAATCAATCAATGGAAAAAAAAAAGTGAAAAAAACGAAGCAATCAATGAATTGAAAAAAAAAAAAAGTAAAAGGAAAAGAAAAAACGAACACAGGTCCGCGGAGATGCGCGAAAGTGGGAAGAGGTCCATGTGGCGATCGGGATTCGGATCGGGATTGGGAAGCTGACGCGGAGGCGGGCGGAGCGGCGATCGGGATCCGGATCGGGATTGGGAAGTGGCGCAGCGGCGCTGCCACGTGGCAGGGCCTTGTTGGGGGCGCAAGCGGATTGGGAAGCGGAAGCGGGGGGGGGCGGAGGTCGGCAGAGGTAGACGAAGACGGGCAGAGGTAGGCGGAGACGGGATTGGGAAGCGGATTGGGAAGCGGATTGGGATTGGGAAGCGGATCTGGATTGGGAAGAGGATTGGGATTGGGAAGCCGCATCGGGATTGAGAAGCGGATTGGGAAGCCGGATCAGGATTGGGAAGCGGAAGCGGGAGGGGGCGGAGGTCGGCGGAGACGGGCGGAGGTAGGCGAACGTGGCCGGAGGTGGGCGGAGCTGGGCGAAGGTGGAGGGAGAGGATCGGGATCCGGATCGGGATTGGGAAGCGGAAGCGAAGGCGGGCGGAGGTCGGCGGAGAAGTAGGGAGGCAACTGGGGCAACAACTGCCCAAGGCCTACCTCTGCTTCCCAATCCCAATCCGCTTCCACGTGGCGGAGACGGGATTGGGAAGCGGATTGGGATTGGGAAGCGTAGGTAGACGCTGCCACGTGGCAGGGCCTTGATGGGGACGCAAGTGGAAGCGGAAGTGGATTGGGAAGCGAAAGCGGGAGGGGGGGCGGAGGTCGGCGGAGGTAGGCGAAGACGGACGGAGGTAGGCGGAGACGGGATTGGGAAGCGGATTGGGATTGGGAAGCGGGGAGAAACGGCGCTGCCATGTGGCAGGGCCTTGATGGGGGCGCAAGTGGAAGCGGAAGCGGATTGGGAAGCGGAAGCGGCAGGGGGCGGAGGTCGGCGGAGATAGGCGAAGACGGGTGGAGGTAGGCGGAGGTAGGCGCTGCCACGTGGACCCGGATCCGGAGCCTAGGCGAAATAATCGTAGGGAGTTTGCACTACAGCATGGGGAGAAGTGCGGAGAAGTGGGGAGAAGCGGGGAGAAGCGGGGAGAAGCGGGGAGAAGTGGGGAGAAGCGGGGAGAAGTGGCGAGAAGCGGGGAGAAGTGGGAAAAAGCGGGGAGAAGTGGGGAGAAGCGAGGAGAAGTGGGGAGAAGCGGGCAGAAATGGGAAGAAGAAGAATAAAAGAATGTGGAAGAAAAGAAGAAGAAGAAGAAGAAGAAGAAGCAGAAGAAGAAGAAAAGAATGTGGAAGAAAAGAAGATGAAGAAGAAGAAGAAGAAGAAGAAAAGAATAGTTTTAGTAATTACCAGCAAAAGCCATTTCGATCGCTTGCTTCCTCTCCTCCTCAAAACCGAAGACTTCTTCGCACGCTTCGATCTCTCTCTGCCTGCCCACCTCCTCCTTCGTTGCACTCCTTCTTCACCACCGACTATGGCTTCTCTCCCTTCTCTCTCTTCTCCCGTCACTCTGGTCTCCTTCGTCCGAGCTTGCGGCTATGGCCGCTCCTCCAACTTGGCT